AGGCTGTCTCTTCCCACCTTATGATATGACCTGTTCTGCAAATAACATCTGTATTTCTGTGAGCTCACAGAAAAAGCAAGAAAGAGATGGCCTGTTTTGCTCCTGGTTTCATCTCTTTGGTGATTAGATGCACAAAAGGACAGGAATTGTACAGAAGAAAGAGTTACAACAAGCAAAGCTTCTATATGAAGCTATGTGGAATCTCTTCTTCTGTACAACCATTAAAAGAGGAGAAGTCCTACCTACCCTTGCTGTTTACCAGGCAGATATCATAAAGCAAGAAGCAGAAAGGTCTAAGTACAAACTCCTGACCAGCAATTTGCTGGTCAAATTGTTACCTAGATTCTTTTTCTCCCTTTGTGCTTGGGTGAGGATTAGACAAAACTGAGGTAACTGAGTTTTTGGGGCTCCAGAGAGTCCACCACTGCCTCTGATCACAAAGGGACCTCTTCCTCACCCATCACAAAGAGGTAAGAGGAGAGGCAGTGATGGCTGGGGCCACTTTCAGCCCCTTATTTGTTGTGGTGAAGCCAGGGCTGAACAGGACCTGGGCAACTTGACTTCTACTCTTCCATGCAGACAAGGACCCAAATGTGTGTGCCAAAAATTTAATAAGTGTGCTGTTGCCTGTTTTGTTGTTGCCTGGTAACTGATGATGATGGAGGGGGAAGATGAAGACCATTTGGTGGAGGATTAAAAACAGATCATGTAGCAATTGGGGCCTTTCCTCTGGTGGTATAGCTAAGTGACAGCATTCATAGGGCTACCAAAACTGGGTTCCAAAACGCTGGACAACCACTAACAGACAGTAAAGAAATACAAAGAACTCTTTTTGATGTCATTGAGTGGTCATCTGGATTTCTGAAGCCCCAATCTTGTAGCCCTAACCATGACCTACTTGCCAGCCTACAGAAAAAAGACTAGAAAGACAGCCTGACCTGACTCATCTGCCTTCTCACCTGTGAGGGGCAGCCCTGGACACATGGTGAGTGGGAAACCATGAGAGGACCTTTCCAGTGGTAGCTCATCAAAGGTTTTCCATGGAGATGTTTACTTGAAATATTCTTTATCATTGTTTCCTCACCTGGCAAGGAATTTAACAAAATCGAGAAGCATTTGGGATGAAGAAGCAGTGGGGTATACATTTTTCAAACAAGGAAGCAAGCCAAAAATCAAACAAACTGCATGAGAGCGCTCTGGATGAAATCATCCATAAAATGACCCTCCCAACCTTGGTGACTTTGGGAGGGTCATTTTCTCTCTCAACCCAACCCACCTCACAGGGTGGTCATGGGGAAAAATGGGCAGAGGGAGTGTTAACCTTGAGCTGAATGAAAGATGGGAAACAAACAAATGAACCAAGTGTGTCTTTAGTCAGTAGTTAAACTTTTCAAATAGTTCTTGGCCAAGCCCTGAGCACACATCAGCAATCTGAAGCCTCCCTGTTTACGTGGATGAGTCATATCTCCTTCATTTGGAATGAAAGACCACTTCAAATGTTCCATTTTGGTCCAAATATAATCATTGTTTAGCTTCTTATTAATTTTAGCCTCTTGGTGATAAATCATCGCTCATCAAACTGATTAAAACTAATCAACTAAATATCTTAAAAATACTTAAAGCTGATTAAAAGTATACTTCCAATCTGTAGAGGGTTTTTCTTTTTTCTTTTTTTTTATTACAACAAAGTTTTCAAATGATGGGATTGCACGATAGGGCAAAGAAAGATA